AATAAGATGCACTCAAATAGGCAAAAAAAAAAAAAACTGATTTCTTCTTTCTGTGCTGGAGGATCCCATTCAGTCTGTATGCTGGCCAGATCTGGCAAGTCACTATTTCAGAGCATGGTGTTAGCACCTGGCTGGTGATCAAAGGATTCTTAAGCAATAACCCACTCCACATCAGCAAGAGCTGCTGCCAAGAATCATGGACTTCTATGGGCTGGAAGACAACTGATAAAGCAGATGCTGAGAAAAGCAGTGGTTCCTGCATTGGGCAATCTGAGTGCTACTAATGGCTACTGGAAAAATGTTATTTTTATTTTATTTTTGCAATTGCATAAGCCTGATTCTCTAAAGGCTCACAGGGACATGGTGTTTGTACAGGGCTTTTTATGGCTAAGTGTTTTATTTAGATAAGCAGATACTTTATAGGGGAAAACCACTACTCCTTGGTAGTTCTTCCTTTGTCAATAATGCATACGGGTCGATCTTGCCCTTGTCCAGAATTAGCTCCTATGGATTTTGGCTTGTGGATGATGTTGCACTCAGAATAGGTAGCAATGATGAAATCAAACGTGTTGTAATACAACGCTGTGTCTAGTTCTAGGGGATACAGTACACGAGACAGGTTGGCAATTTGGAAAGGGTTCAGCAAAAAGGACTAGAAAGCAGATCTCAACATGGTGAAGAGGCCTTAAAAGAAGGAAGTGATACCAAACAGCATACAGTTCTGGGAAGGCTATTGCAAGCTGGGGTGCTGTGCTATTTTCCCACTGACCTCATGGTAACATGAAGTGAAAATTCCAGTCCAGTATTTTCTGCCAAGTCCTTAAAGGCAAAACATTAGCAAATGGCTCCTGCTCTTGCATTAATTCACTAGCAGGTTCTCTTCTGCACGAGCCCTGCGAAAGCTTTATTACCAGAGCTATACTAGCTATTAAACAGCCATAAGCTTAAACTGGTATTTACTGTAGGACTGTGCCTTTTTATTGCACACAGAGAGGGAACTCCCTTCTCAGCCCTCCAGGTGGTCCCTCCAGGGCAGGGTTGAGGCACATTGGTGAGAAGGGGTGGGGTTGGGTGGGAGAGGCTTTCCTTGCTGCCCTACCTGTTCTGGGCATAAATTGAAATGATCAGTCTCTAAATCCTGCCAATTAGGCATGTGTTACTGGCATTAGAGTCACTTTACAATGGTAGGTACAATTAAAATGTTTCTCTTTAAAAAATAAGGCAAAATCCTGCTTTCACAAATTGAACTCCCAGAGCAGGGGTAGCAGAGGCATGCTGGAGTGCATGCTGGAGGCTGCCTGACCTTACCCAGCCAGGCAGGAGCAGGGCACCGTTCTGCAGCACAGGGTGGCTTGGGGACAAATACCTCCCAACATGCTTGCGTACCCCCTTCCAGCAGGGACTGTCTGTTGGGGAGCCCACGGAGTAGGTCTGGAGGATGCAGTATGCAGTATCCTCTCCTCCTCCCCACTACTCCACTTCAGCATTCAAGGCAGGATTAGAGGTGGAAAAAAATAGTGGTAATCCTTTCCTAGGCTCCACCTGCCAACAAAGCTCCACCTACTTGGGGGGGAGAGAACTGAGGTGCCTTTCAGAAGACTATGAAACTGCTAACAAAGTCAGTACCTGCGATCAATAGGGTCCTAAAAGGAACAGGGCAACCTGGACCTCTCAGAGCAATTACCTCTTGGTTTCTGCAGAGTGTGGCATTGGTCTATTCCTTGCACGCTGCTCCCACTCTAAGGGTTATCTTGGTTACTACAAAGTCCAGAAATTATAGGGTTGGTTTTCTTCCTTAAAGAAAAAGTTATCTTATGCAGCATGTGCTTCTGCCTGGGAAAATACGGGCGCATAGTGCTGCCACACAAAAGCTGGTTTCGTTCTCATCTGCATTCAGTGAAGATGACGACCATCTACCATCACCCCATAACTCCTTTCCCAGGAACCATCCTCACCACTTAAGTGTTTATTTTCTTCTGGTCCAAAAATAAGATATCAACGTGCTGGAGCTTTGCAATCCTCACTTGCTTCAGAACAGGCTTTATCCTGGGAAGGGTTTGTCATTTGCACTTGGGGCATGAGGAAGGCTATTTTAGGAACTGAAGAAGGCAAATGGGAAAACTAATTATGCTTGTAAAAAACATGTAATATTGCATAAAGCCCACCTGTAAAGAAACCTGCCTTTTTCTCTCTGATGTCCTGGGAACTCTGACTGATACAGCCTCCTGCAACCGCATCTTGTCAAGATCCACAGTTGTTCACAATCAAATTACTTTTGGGTACAGATTTAGGACCAGAAAAGCCCACATACAATATGCTTCTTTATAAATGCAGTACTAGAGTCCTGTCTCGACTACATACCACCTTGTCGGGAGGGGAGAAGGGAGGTAAATGCGACCTCCAAATAAGCACTTCACAGAACTCACTCTCAAGTAATCTGTGCTCTCCTCCAGCCTTCCCAAAGGGATTAAACATTTGTGAGGGATCTCAGGAGGGCTTTTCTCATACTAACCAGGGAAGTATGTTGGTGGAGCCTGCCGTGGTAGAGGAGCCTGATACACTTGTTCTGTGCCAAGCGTCAAACCTAGCTGGTCATTTTTCGGCCTCTGCTACCGAGACTCTGCCCCATATTCATTAGGCAGGAATGATGACTTAGTGGTTCTGGAGTAAGGAAAGTGAAGACCTGTTTCTGGCACTGCTATAAACTTGTTTTATGATCTTAGGCAAGTTACTTCACCTTTCAATACTTCAGTTGTTTTATTTGTAAAAAGATACTTCCTGGATATGGGAGAATAGAGGAGGCTATCTGAAGTATAATTTGTTTAAAGAACTGTGAAATATGAGATAAGATACACTGACAATATCATTTATTCATTAATTAAAATCTATATTCAATGTTAAAAACATGAATGAATCAGGCAGGGAAAGTTTTCATTGTAGTGTCTGCTCTTGGGAAAGTCTTCTGGTGAAAATGGCTGGAAGCACTGTTGTCCCTCACTCTAAACGCTTCCCAGACATTAACGTGACCACATAGAATTTGGCTCATTATATATGTAAAATAGGCAGATGCTATTAGAAAGTAATTTTTTGGCCCAGGGAGTAGAGGAAACTATCCCTCACGATGACATCCCCTGCAGAGGCCATATTTTTATCATGCCTCATACTTTTAAAGGTGTGAGAAATGACCCACAAAGTCGGATTCTACCTGCTTGTTTCTCCCTTGAAATCTGAGCTCTGTGTTCACACAATTTCACCGATTCCTCAGCATTTTCCTTTCAAATTCCCTTCCCTTTGACAGTCTGTATATTCTGATGTTGGTGGGTATAGTCACAGTTTTATTAAGTACCTAATAACATGCTATTCAGGGACAACATGTCATGATAATAAACTGTCCATGCAATTTTGCCTGACTCATCAATCAACATGGAAAAGGAAAGAATGATGTTCATAAAAGTTCCTTTACGAGGCTGACGGAAAGGTTTAACAAACAACGAAATTAGCAGTGTTTTGCATTGTTAAGTATTTTGCAGGGCAGAAAATTAATTACCACTGAGGAGAACACACTCTCCTGGAAGGTCCACACGTGGCCGATTACAGCCCGTTCTGCTTGGTGAGTCCTCCCTTTGCAGCTGTGGATTCGCTGAGAATGGGAGCAGCCACAGGGGATCAAGCTTGGTGACTTACTCATGTGAGTGAGCAGCCGTAGAGTGAAATCTCCTCTTGAGCAGTGGCCATGGCACCATTGGAAAGGCAGGTGAAATTAACTTTTCCACGCCAAAAAAAAAAAAATCACATTCTTGCAGACTATTATTTTTACCTTCTTACTTTTCACTCTGGCAATTTTATTGTTTTAAATGAAATGCAAAAAATGGGTCTCCAGTAAGCCATATAAATCCAAAGTCTGCATCCATCCCAGGCTGATGATCTGAGAGATCTGGCACTTACACTTGGGGCCTTCCTGCACAGGAGAAATCGCACCCATGATGAGGATGCACACTTCCACAAGCTGAGTGAAACAGAAATAAATAAATAGTTCCTGGTGCATGTAAGCCTGAAAGTGCACAGGCGAGTTGCCACTGCCAAATCCGCTCTGTCCAAGCCTGGGTGAAAGGTCAGTGCTGATTTAGGAAGCAAACAATCGAGTTACTGGCATTGCAGCAACTGAATTAAACTCTTACCAACTGATTGACTAAGAAAGCGGGATATCATCCTTAGCTATTGGCAACTGTCTTCTCAAAATTAACCTGTACTAAGCTGGTCACCTCCAAACCAAACAAATTCCCAGCTCAGTTACAAATATAAAAGACATCAATTAGATTTATGTAAGGGTCTTGCAAAATATGAAATACCAAAAGCTGCTACCAAACAACAGCAGGAAAAATCATCACCCTGCAACACGCTTGCTTCTCAAACAGACAAAGCCTGGCTATTTTCAAGAAATTACATCTTGCCTGGCCACAATAGTTGCTCTGTGCATTTGCTGGGGGGAAGAAGGTACTGCTGGCATATTCTGCTTATCTAAATCTGACAGCAAGGCTAAGGTTGGCACTTAACTGCATGAATCACCAACTATTGAAATTTAGAAGCTTGCATATGCAAATTACTAATTAAACGTATTAGCATAGTCAGTTACCCAAACTGTAATCTTAATCGTATCGCCAAGTTAGGCATGCAATCACACACCCATTTTGCAGGTTTGCATTTTTGAGCATGGTTTCCTGGGAGTGAGGTCCAGAATCTAGACTAATAACCAGTTTTTCCTCGTGTAGTTCCAGGAAGGGTAAGAAAGAAGTGGCTTCCTCTCCCAACAAGTAATGGGGATTTGTACAAAACCAGGCCCTGGTGTGGACAGCAGGATGACGACTGAAAGGGCTCGATGGTGAGCTATGCATGCTCCCACTTAATCTAATGCCCATCTTTGTGACTCCTTCAACCCAAACAGCATGGCATTTCCCTCTATTAGCAAGTAGTCAGACACAGACAAAGACTATGTGCCAGATTTTGACTTTATTTAAATTGAATTAACTGAGATTACCATCTGAGACTAGAAACTTTCTTTATACAGTTACAAATAGCTATATTATGCAGTTTTAAGGGGTTAAGAAAAGGAGGAAATCATAACCACAGAAGTCATAAAGGCAACTTATCCCAAGCCAAATAGTTTTGTTTCCAACGCAGGGCTTTAATTATAACATGTCATATAATGATGACATAGTGCTATAATAGGCAAATATAATGCATTAATCTGATATTATATTTTGGCTTTAACAATAGGTGCAGTGAACCAGCCTCAGTGGATAACTCATTCAGAACCTATCTGCACACTCCACCTAGATACTTATCTGCCTCTTTAATTAACTGGAGGGAAACTTCTTGAGGCCATACCCATAAAGCCAGTCTCTGATGATAGCAGAGTTACTGGAAGCCTTTGGTAATCGCTTACACCCACGTATTGTGGTTAGCTTCCAACTTTGGCTCTTTCCTTCTCACTTTGGAGCCACCTATTTGCTCCCTAGTGTAAATCTAAAACCAAAAAGGGTAAAAAAAGACCCCAGTGGGTTTGTGTGAGTACTCTTCGGCGGCCTGCCATTAGCCTCCTCAGGACTGAATAAGGCTTCATAGTTGCAGGAGTGAAAAAAAGAACTTCAGCAAATTTTTCTCTTACCAGTGTGTATCTTGAAAGGATAGCACCAAACGGCATCAGTGAACACAGTACAGCCCGTGTCACCTTTCCATAATGCAAATGTCCTAGATTGTCCTCGGCATGCCCTCGCTGCGGCGAGATTACAGCAGCTGACTTCAGTGGAAGCAGGAGTGGGCCTCCTGGGATCAGATCAGCCCTCCTGATTCAGCAGGTGCTATGCGACTTTGCATACACCGAAAACAACCTTCATTTTTGTTTCTTCAAGCACCAACGAGCTTGTAGGATTTGCACACTAAGCTAAAAATAAAATTTTAACTAAGAAATTAATTTGGAGAAGGTGGTTTTCTGAGATGCAGTGCTTGCTGTCTGCTAGGAAATCCAGAAAGAAATGCCCTGCTCTGGTCCGTTTAATATACAGAAGTCACAGAGACCAGACATGTCAACAGAATCCCAAGAAAGCACCGAGGCAGCGATCTGCAGGGCGCGCGAGATAATTTCTGATGTAACAATAGCGTAACAAGTGCTATCGTCCTTGTATCAGGATAAAGAGAGCTGACAGGAGGCTCCTCCACTTCAGTACCAGCTCAGCCGCACTGGATGAGCACAGCTAAAATGGCTCCAGCTCCTTACTGCCTCCTTTTCCTTTTCCTCTCCCTCTGCTGCTTGCTTCTTTACTCTCCTCCGATCTTTTCCAGTATGAAAGGTTCTGCTAATGACCTTTGAACACATCATGTTGGGAATGTCACTGCAGAGCTTCTTAATTTTATGGTGGCGCCTAGATAATACAGTGATGGGTACTGAAATGCTGAAAAACAGACAGACAGATAGCTAGATAAGATTAGATATATAAGTAATTCAGCCAGTCATCATACAGAGCAGCTGACTTAAGTTCATTTGTAAAGCCAACTGCTAAAATTGCTTTAGAAGTCCTTACATTTTAATTCTGTTGAAAGACAGACCTTTGATCTGAATTGTTTTGGTGGCATGTACATTATTTGAGTGGAGCTTCACCTGACCAGGTAATACCAGACCGGTCATTCCTGGCATATTATTGTTACAGGAGAACAGTGAACATGCAAATCCATACCTACCGATAGCTCAAGGGCAGGCAGCTAACTGAGCATTGTGGTACAGATACAGACTGAAAGCATGATCATCACCTTGTGCTGCTGATAGGCAGAATGAATCATGGCTAATAAAAGGCTAAAAAAGCCATGTATGTGACCAAATGTTACCCCCAACATGCTTTTAAATTAAGCACGTCCAGAAAAGAAAAGGAGAGAAAATAATAGATAAGTGTTATTGCTTCTCTTTTTCATTAACATTTATGTGTTTGTTTATATAGGGGAGGGGAGGGGGATGGAGGAGGAAGAGAAATAAAAAAGGCCTGTCAGATTCACTGTTGTTTATAGGCAGTTTTACATTCCAGCTCTCAGGCACTAGCAAAACTCCAGGTTGTTTGTATTGCATTAATTGTAGGGAAAATTATTTTTATTGACATGTTTGTTTTTTTTTTTTAAATTTGGTATTAATAAATAATTCAAAGACACTTCCTAGGGCAGTTTATTTTTGAAGTGGGTTATTTATTTTAGCTCTAAATCTGGGGGCCGTGCTAGTATTCCCCAGTACAGGAGGGGTAAGAGTGATCATAGAGAAGGGTAGAGTTCATTAGCCCCTGCGTTTCTTTGAGTGGCATTCACCCCAACAGAGACATTTCGCACCGCTAAGTCCCACTAAAGCAAAAACTGCTTAACGCATGGATGAACCACAGATAAATGGCTGCATCTCAATCAGTGATGGATGAAGCGCTCAGAAGATTCTGTGGTTTAATGAGAGTAAGCATTCAAAAAGTTCAAACGTTAATCCAAGCCTCTTTAGTTTATAATGATGGAAGTCACTCTCCAGAGCCGGCTTACTCATTCTGTTTTTAATCTATCCTGACTGCAGTTGGGTTTGAACCGCTGCACAAACAGCAGCTGTCACGAAAAGTAGATCCCTCCTTCATCCCCACTCAAAATCAGTAACTGTAGACGTGCAGAAAAATCAAATGACCGAATAGCACACTCCAGATAGTGCTGGCCACAGTCTTGTGTCCTTCTGTGACACTTTACTTTTGTGTGTACTTGGCTCTAAGGCTTGGATTAATCTTACTTACCTGTTAGAATCCCTGTTACCTTAACATTATGTTTTCCTTGAAAGGGGTTTGCCTTTTTTTTCTTCTTTGTGTTGGAAACTTTCAGATTTACCTCTTTTTGGAGGTCTCCGTCTCTCTCCAGTAACCACAGAGAAGGAGCTACGCTCCTAATTTGTGCATCTCTTTTATTTGTTTGTACTTTGAAAGGATCAAGGTCCAGCTGTCTTGTGAAATCCCTGACGTTATGGTACTTCCCTGACTAATAACCTGTCCCCCTAAGCTTGTCCATTATGGGATATTTCAAGTCAAGTTTGTTGCACGCTGCAGCACTACAATGGACTGCAACACAAGAGACTTGATTTTCCAAACAGAAAAACAAGTGGTCATAGACAATATGCCCAGGGCCTGATTCCCCACTGTCTCATGCCTGTGTAATGAAACCCATGGATTCATAGCAAGACCACAGGCTGTGTAAAATGCTGTCTAGCACATCTGGAGGCACCAGGCTCCCCGTTTGCATAATTTAAAGGCAATGGAGGATCAGGGCAGTAGTTACAACAATTGTACTTATAAGCCAAACGTCTGCATGAGCAAACACCAGGCTTGTTACACATGTATTTCACATTTGCAAAGAGTTGTCCAGCTTGTGCATAACTGGAGTAGGTGCATATGTATCTACCCGCGCGCAGTGCATGCCAAATGTGTGCAAATCAAGCATGAAGCATGCCATCGACTGAGGCTACTATTTAAAGTAGGTATCTAGAAGTATTACATAGAAAAACTCCAAATAACATAGCATAATTTTCAAAATTGTTAAGCAGCAAGCACTTCCTGTTTTTTGACGATAAGACCATGTACACAATTCAGTTTAGGTTTTGGAATATGATTTTATATACCTATTTTTTGAGGAACATTGGCCAAATTGCTGGCTGTCGGCTGGACTCTTTATCAGGAAATCTATAACTGAACATTCCAGGCCAAGACGCACAGGAAAAAAAACAGGTAGAAAACAAAAGTGTAGAAACTTGAATAGTGTAGAGTTACCTACACTGGAAACAGTAAAATGTATTTAAAAAACTAGGTTCATTAAAAATCCCAGTCCAGCTAAGGGACAGAAATGTACTTTTGGGAACTTGAAATTGGTACTTTTGTGTTTGCAGTGATCACAGTAGTCCTTCTCACAGCATTCTGCGCTGTTAATGCCTTGAATGAATAACTGCAGCTAATGAATGAATGGTACCTTTGCATAAAAACTTAATTGCAAAATAAAGCAATAATAAAGAAAAGTTATCATAATTTTTTTTTTAAAGCCTAGAGAAGTTTAGGTTGGAGTTTTGGGGGATGGTTTGATTGCTGCCTTTTCTCCTTTTATCTGAACCAGCTCCCTCAGTCCTAATCTTCACCATCTAAACCACATGATTAACACACAAAATAACTTTGGAGCAAGCCAGGTCCAAGCAGGAAGCTGCAAGTACTATCATGTCTTCACAATATTAGCCAGCAAAATAACTGTGGTTTCTTCAGTTTTTTTTTGTTTTTATAATGCTCTACATTTATGTTTTCCTTGAAAGGGGTTTGCATTTTTGTTTCTTCTTTGTATTGGAAACTTTCAGATTTACAATCTCACTCCCTGTGGGAATGCTTATTCTCCTAGGCTCTCCCCACAAGAGTAAGCAGGCCTGGACCCTTACACAAAACAGCTAAGAATGTCTCTTGCTCTCTTCATGTTTTTCAGTCAAAACCAAACTGTTCAGCCAAATAGCACCTCTCTCTACCTGGTTAAGTTTAAAAGGAAGCAGCTATGCTTGTATTATGTGAAGGGACAGGTGCTGTTGGTGTGTATTAGGCTTGTCCGGGATACTCCAGTTGAATTAGGTGTCCTCAGAAAATAAGGCTCCTTAACTTTTTCCAGGATCCCACTGGGTCTTAGGTGAGAACTGGTACTAAGCTGCTCAGATCACAGCAGTTCTGGGCATGTCCAGACATAAAGCTGCTGGTACTGGAAGAAATGTTATCCTGAGCAGGGAGGAACCTACTGAGTTGTAGGTGCTTAAGTCCTCCTCTGCATCTGGCCCTAACTTGCAAGAGAGGAAAAGCCAACTGCTCAAAAGCAGCTTCTATTTCATGGCTTCGAATTATGCCAAAAAAAAAAAAAAAGGGAAAAAGAAAAAGAAAGAAAGTAACGACGACTCAGTGATTTTGCACCTGCCTTTGTATTGGAGGTAAGGGAGAGAGCCTCAGCCAGGCAAGAGGAGGCTCAGATTTTCTGCTTTCTCTGCTCTGGGAACTCAGAAGAGCAGATAGGCCTTATGCTGGCAGACATCATAGTCCCCGTGTGTGTCATACACTTCTATGCAACACTCCGCGGTTGGTACACTGGGTGCTCGTTGGGCAACAGCATGGAGAAGACTGGTTTCCGTGGAACATTTTCTGTTGGGAATTGTAATGTTTCTTCCCAACATTTCACAAACCACCACAAAGAAGATGACAAATAGAGGGGGAAAAAAATCCTTCTTAAAATAAATTGTGTGTTTTTCCTTGCCATCCCAAAAGCCTTGGCAAGCTTGTAGGAGCCAGGCAGAGCTGGTCTCTGCTGGATGTCACTCTTTGCATAATTTTATGATAATTTGGGGGAGTCTGCAGGACCAAATGGTGAAAACACAAAGAGGGAAGTTAGGACTCTCAGACTTCATTTCTGGTTCTGCCACCAAGATACTGTTTGTCTTGCGATGACATACATAAACTCTTCTTGTCCCACTGGAAGGAACTTTGTTTTATATGTTTGCTGTTTCTGCTATTTCTAGAGCTATCTGAGGACCAAATCAAAACAATAGCAACATATCTCAACTTAACTGAAAAATAAATTATAAACCTAAGACCTATGACCTCTCTGCTCTCACTCAAACCCTATTAAAGACAATGCAAAGACACCTATTGACTCAGGTATACTTTAGATTACAGTACAGGCTCTTGATCAGATGGAAAAGAGAAAGACTGACACTAGGACTCAAAGAAGAGACAGGAGAACTATGATATTCATTAATGACAAGTAAAAACACCCTCAAGAGAGGCTGGAAGCAAGACTTCTGCCAAGGGGACTGCTTGGCTATAATACACAAGTTTAGAAACTTGTGCAGCTTCCCAGCTCATCCTAGAAAGAAACCAGCTTTCTGTCTTAACCTGTTAATGTGAGTTCTTTATTTGTAATTTGCAGTGGTTTTTCCTATCTGAAAGAACAACTCAGTTGCGCTCTCACACCGAAACTCCCAAAGATTTCATTGCAAGTACAGCACAGCTCACATCCTCTTATTCTCTGCTGTTGGGTCTTTTCCACTTCTTTCCTTTCTGTGGTGCTTAACAGGTCTTCTCCCTACTCATCCTCATTCTGGGTCTCCATTTCTTTGACACAGATAACAGCTGTTAACTCCATCTAAAAATCATATTTGCTTCTGTTGCAACCAAGACAGGACAAGAGGAAATGAATTCAAATACTAATTGGCTTCTGCATTCATTCAAGACACCTTCTTCTTACAGCTACAAGATGTTTTCTCCTTGCTTTTCATCACAAGGCCTATAGTCAAGTTCAGCTGTTCTCAGATGGGGCTTATGGAGGACAATAAGGCAACTGGACAGAATAAGCTTGAAAATGTAGCATGTTATAATCCCAAAGG